ATATAAACCAATAAATCGTAACACTAATTTTCACTTATAAAAGTTAATAAATATATATCTTTGTTTATAAAATTGAAAGTGAAAATATATTGTTTTTTGGATAAAATGATCAACATGAAAGTTGTAGTAATCGTCAAGACGAACACGTAGATATAAACAACGTTGGAATGAAGTTCTTATGAATAAGCTTTGACTTTTTAAAGTTTTGACGAGAATAACAACAAATACAATGATGTCAATAAAACATTATGTGACCATTGTTTCTTGCTTTTGTTTTTTTTTTTTTGTTAATATTTTTTCACATATAAATTTTTTTTTTTAACAAAATTGTTTTTTTTTGTTTTATATAGGAAAAAATGGTTTTTAATGTGAAAATATTTTTTATTATAAATATGATTTATAAAGCAAAAATAAAATATTCGAAACAAAATTTTGAAAAAAAATATATGCAAAAATACAAAATTAGGATGAATTTGTAAGAACATTTTGAAATGTGGACCAAAAGTGTAAATTTTTAACTAAATTTGTAATACAAATTAAAATCTGAGCCAAAAGTATAGATTTTGAAAATGGATGACATATTGACTGCGTAAAAATTGTCAAAGTGAATAACATTATCGATATTTGGGAGTTAATGGTAACAAAAAATATAGCCATTTAATTGAAGACAAAATTGCAAGAATGGTCCCTGTGGTATGTCAAAACTAGCACCTTTGGTCCAAAATGGGTTTGGCTTGCAAGGATGGTCCAATAGTTTCGTTTTGTTGCGAGTTTGGTCCAATTTCCTATGAACTTTTTTATAATGACAAATTTGCCCTTATATTTTAATTTTCCATTTTTATTTTATTATCAGTAATTAAAAATAAAACAAAAATAAAATACCCTCTTTCTCTCTCTCTCTCTCTCTCTCTCTCTCTCTCTCCACCGTATTCCCCCCATATTTTTTTCTTTTTACCCAAGAACAGTTCATCTTCTTCAATCCTCCCCTGCCTATCTGATATGTCTTCTTCGACAAGTTCAAAGAAATCAGTTCAAAACAATTTCAAAATCAAACATGTTGCAACCTCTCAATGACCTATGTGAGAATACAATCGCCGGAAAACACATCTTTTCTCTTGCCTAACCCACCCGCTTGACCCTCAACATCACCTATTATATCTGGCCATCATCCATCCTACCTCGCCCATCACCTAAACCAGGTAACATCTCTGACGAATACCAACAACACCATCGCCTCCTAGGTCAAACCACTATACCTGACTTTTCTCTCATTGTCGTTTAGAGCTACAATGCCACTGTTATCGTTGTTCTTCTACAAGAGTCATCTTCTACGCCTAAAATTGATACACACACCGATTCAGAGAAGAACAAGAGAGAGGGACATGATTGGCATTTGATTCACTAATTGGAAAGGACACAAAAATTTTTAGGTTGTAAATCGTAATCCCTTTCATCTGTAAATCGTAATCTCTTTAACCTGTACTGATTTAAAGTGTAATGTGTCTGCGATTCAGGGAGAGGGATAAAAAGGGTTCAGTTTACCTTCATCTTTATGTTTATTGATTTGTTTGTGTGCTTGTGGGTTTAAGTCGGGCAATTCATAGAAGGAGTTGATTCTGATGGTGGTGATGGCAGTTTATCAAAAATCGATTTCTTAGTTCGTGAATATGATGTTCTTGTTCTTGAACTCAGGAAAAACCGAGTGTTCTTGAGATTCATATGCATATATGAGTGTGTATGTGTTTAGTCTACTCGACTTCATACAATAAATTGAACAAAATTGATAAAAGTTAGGGTTCTTCATTTTACAAATCCACTACCAGATCTGTATTAATTTTGTTTAGAGAGAGAGAGAAAGAGAGAGAGAGAGAGAGAGAGAGAGAGAGAGTATTTTATTTTTGTTTTATTTTTAATTGTTTTTAATTACTGATAATAAAATAAAAATGGAAAATTAAAATATAAAGGCAAATCCATCATTATAAAAAAGTTCATAGGAAATTGGACCAAACTTGCAACAAAACAAAACTATTGGACCATCGTTGCAAGCAAAACCTATTTTGGACCAAAGGTGTTAGGTTTGACATACCACCGAACCATTCTTGCAATTTTATCTTAATTGAATATGAGATCAAAATATTCGCTATTTGCAATAGATGTCTCTAATATTATATTTGAAAACTCTAAATATTGGAGATGACTTAAAATCCTGATACTAACAACTATGCATCAAATTATTGATATTTATATAATTTTTGAGTTATCGCTTGAATAAAAATGCGATCTATTTATGCAATTTAAATTACAAGTGAAATCAAACATCACTTGCTTTTTCGTACGAAAAGAACCAACTATTATTTTGGCATACTAAAAATGAAAAGTATTTATTTTTTGACGGATGAAACAAACCTACGCTGGCTTCGGAGCCTTCGTTGAAATATGTCACGTTTTCTAGTACTTCCTCGTCATTCCAACACGCCCTACAGTTCATGATTGCTGACCAATTTTAAATTTTCCACACTACCACGTGTACGGATCTCAGTTTCTCGTGTCCTTCACGCGCTTGACCAAAACTACACAACCACCATTTTGACGTTTTAAACTCCTTGTCCCCAAAGCTACCCAAAAAAACCCTCCCCACACCCAGCCCAAACAGACTTGTGAAATGTCTAAAATGACCCCACCGCCCACATGCAAACATATTCCCAGCTAATATGCTTAGATTCTTCTGTTTTTTCTTGTATATAAACCCCGGAAATAAAGATCAATATACAAATACTACATCGGCCAATATTCTAACCAATGGCAGCAATTCGATTGACACGCATGTCAACCACACCATCTGCTCTCGTTGCATCTTCCATACAAACGGTATTGAGGACTGATATTGTGAGGTTAAGGTTTACATGTGTGGCGGCTGGTTTTGGCTTAGAAAATGGTCAATTGACCGGAGATATAGAGAGGAAACCGGTACTAGTAACTAAAGCAGCCACATCTATGGTGGCTGCTTTAGGTGGTGCAGTAACAGTTGTTACTGCACCAACACAAATAAGCAGAAGAGTAGACTTAACTACTCTTCTGCTTATTATGAAAACTGTGGTTCACCGTAAGTTAAAGGTGGCTATGAGACCTAGGCCGTGGAGTTTAATCATCCAGTCGCTAATTGAAAAGGTAATATTGATCTTCTCAAGCAACTTTGCATGAATTATTAACATGATTTCTTTATTTAATTAGTCATTAAAATTTTTAAAAATGTTCACTTCATTTAAAAATATTTTAATAGAGGGAACCATCATTGCTAATAAAACATTTTGCAAGAAATTATAATCCCCTCAGATTTATTAATTTATGATGATGTGAAATTTGCAGTTCATAATGGACTCCCGATTCTTTACGATGTTTGCTGTAGCAGGAACCTTGCTTGGTTCGGTATTATGTTTCCTAGAGGTATCATAAATATTGTTTAATTAATTAATAAGCATTTAGCAACACTTTTTGACCTTTTGACCATTGTTGACATTTTATCTTAATCTAAATATCTAATACCATATGCTTGAATGAACTTTAGGGTGTTTTTCTGGTTATGGAATCATACCTTCGGTACTTTCAAGCCATCTCCCACCATTCAGATCATGGACATATCATGCACTTACTCATCGAAGCCTTAGGTACATTTATTTATAACTCCTATTATTCATGAGAATATATATTAAGTACATTGTGTTGAAAAGACAATAACTTTATGAACATGTTTGTTATCTATGAACAGATATGTTCTTAGTAGGAACAGCCATGCTTACATTTGGGATGGGATTGCATGTTATGTTTGTCGGATCCCAAGCTTCAAGAGGCAACGGATCTACACTTCCATCATCAAATTTCTTTGGGCTTTTTCAACTCAAGGTATATATATGCAACTAAACAACATTACGAACCATAACCAAAATATTACTCCCTCCGTCCCAAAATTATAGTCTATATTTCTTTTTTGGCTTGTCCCAAAATAATAATCAATTTTTAAAAATAAATAATATTTTTATCAAAATACCCTCTCATTATTACTTATTCAACTAATCATTTAATGAAACATTAAATGCAAAGTAAGTAGAAAACTATCATTTTATTGTATAAAGTTAGTGTTAATTAATGTTTTCTTAATCTGTGTGTTTTTTTATCTGTGGATAATAGTTTTAGGACAGAGGGAGTATTAAACTATGTATGTTATATCAGATATATGTCTGGATTAGACTGATGAGACTGGACAAATTTTCTAGGGTTATTTTCAATAGAGAAAAATGATTCCATGTCTAAGATTTTTAGATGGGACAAAAAATTACAATTTTTGTTCTGTTTAGTTGACATCAATCTCAGTCCCGGTTCAAAGACAATACAACATTGTCATCTCTTAATTAAATAACAAATCGAGCATTAACGTTTTGTTTAAACAATTAGAACATGCTCAATCAGCATAATTTCAATGTTATGAGCTTGAAAGTGGTTATAATTTGACAATATTAATTACAGGAGTTTCCATCATGGGCTGGAATGAAATCCATCTCTCAAGCAAAGTCAAAAATCGGGCATGCTCTAATGTTATTGCTTCAAGTTGGAGTCTTGGAGAAGTTCAAGAGTATACCTTTAGTTACAGGGTTGGATTTGGCTTGTTTTGCTGCATCAGTATTTGTTTCTTCTGCTGGTTTATTCGTTCTTTCACGACTTTCTGTTGATACTAAAATTACCTAAGTTATTTAGGTATCCAATTATTCTTTTGTCTTCTTATAGGCATAGATAGTAGGCTTTAATTTATCAAGGATGTATATGTTGTTCGTGTTAGAACAAATAATTCTTTTATTTGTATATGTATATAATGACAAAATAATAGTCGATGTATTGTTATATATGAACTAAAGCTTTATTATTTAACTTTTTGGCAATATTGATTTGGAAAATAATAATAATAATAATAATAATAATAATAATAATAATAATAATAATACACAACTCTCGTCAGAATTAAAGTTCTACAAACTAATAGTAGAATATATATAAATTTAATCTATTTAAGTGGGTCCATCGGAAATTAAACACAAATTAAAATTTGATCAGTTTTTATATTATAAGTTGTTGACATCCTAAAGCTTCAATTTGCTAATCCCAATGAAGTCATGTAACTCAAACAATGTCCCACCAAATTGAACCCCTTCAACCTGTAAATTATAAGAAAATTAGTAAATTAAAACTTTTGGATTGTAATCATTGCTTCTATGGTACATAATCTAGTCTAATCTATGGTGTTTTTTTTTACATAGTGGACTTAGGGACTGTTTCTTTTTTACTTAATGAGGTTAAAGTGATGGCTGTTTCCTTATGGCTTATTATGGAAAAAATTAAGTTATTTGGTTAAGCAAAACAAAAATAGCTTTATGTATTAAGAGTTAAGAGACTATCGGTTTATGTATTTGCCATTTTTTTCCTCCCAACACAACTCATCTCATGTTAAAACGATGAATATTGTTAAAATTGATAAATATAAAGAATATTGCTTGTTGGAATGTATGAGCAAAATGATTAGTCTCCTTCAGTATTCGGTCTTGAACAAATAATAATAATAATAATAATAATAATAATAATAATAATAACTTATTTTACAAACACTTTATCAAGAGAGACATTCTCACTCATTCAAGCACTTTATCCCTAAAGTAAGACATATATAATTGTTTCCTTTTTGACTTATTACAATGACTTAATAAAGAAAGTCACCAAAATGCGACTTTCCTATTATATCCTAAACTTTTTACAAATGTTTCCACATTTATTTTTCCCGATCATTTTCTCTAAACATCAACAATTAAATGGATTAATTACCTGAAGAATAACTCTAGATGGAGTTCAAAACGTCTCTTATTTCAGCTACAGATGGAATGTTTTCACTTGGGTAGATCTTGGAGGCAAGTTGAGCAAATGTTTCATATTTTTCCATATATTCTTTCTGTCAATCATCATATCAAACTTTATTTGCTTAGCATCATTATATATACTTTTTCATCATTAAGCATCATATCTTCTATAAGAATAAAAATTAGTTTTATCAAGGAACATCTAATAAAATTAAATACCTTGCATTTGTCCCATAGTGTAGGTATCAATTCGTCACAGGTCAAATTCTTGACTAGTTTCTTATGCATTGCAGCAATGTGCTTATCCACCTGTTTATCAAAATAATGTTATCAAAAAAAAAATTACCTTTGAAAAAATAATAAATTGAAGCCGATTTTTGCTGACTTGTATAAATTTTATAACTTACCCCTGATAAATTGGATTTTACCACCTTTCTAAGGTCGGTTTTTGTCAATCCAACTTGGAATGGGATCTGTAATTATTAAACAAAATTAGCATCTCTTTTAGGGTTTTGTTTTCCAATTTGATTTTTCATCAATTACAAAGTATCATGGGGATCAAATGCATTATCAAAATAGAAATGAAAACAATATTTTAGAAAGAAAAAAAAAAAAAAAAAGACACTCACCTCTTCTGGAGCATTAGTTACCATCAAATCCTCAATTCTTCTAGCAAACTGGAAAAGACGCTCAAATTGCTGTGCAAATATTCATAAATTGTCACTTATAAAAGACAAAAGAGAAAAAAAAAAAAGCAGAAATAGCAACATAATGTACTTTATTTTATTTTTTTCTATCCATAAATCATAATCGTAACAATATACTTACATTTTTTTTACCCATAATAGTGACACGTTTTAAATATATTTACCAATAACACCATGATCTAATCCAAAACTCGTATGTTATTTTACACGTTTCATGTTACATATTTTTATTATCTATATACGAAAGTGCTAATTTTTTAAAATTTCCCAACAAGAAAAATGATTTGTTAACTTACATAGTAAATTACAACACTGATATGATGTGCACAAGCCTGTTCATATGATTCACTTGCTTGATGATAAAATTTCGCTAAAGTTGGCACACAATTCGCCAAGTCATACAGACTGCATACAACTGCTTCTCATCAGCATCGATTCGTAAAAAAAAAGATTGTATATTTGTAATTAACTGAAAAAAAATATATATTATAAATTTAATCCTTTTTAGGTTAACATTTAAAATTATAAATATACCTATTTTGGAATGCAGCATAGTTCTCTAACAGAAAAATGTCCAAGTGTTTTAGGTCTGATTGGGAAATCTTGTCCAGAGTCACAAACATTATACCAATCTGTTCAATAATAAACAAGATATATTTATTATTAAATTAAAATATAACTTTTTTTTTTTTTAATTTTTTAAGGTACTCACAATTTTCATGTAGGCCTGATCTACCAATTCCCTAGACTGCCCCTGGATGTATTGCTCCATGCGGGTGGCAAGCAGAGCAAATCTACACAAAATCAATAAAATCCAATTGGAAATATTTCATAAAAAAAAAAAATTGTAATATTTACAGAAAGGGTTTATGTCATAATTTAGCAATCAAATATTATTCCATATGTTGACATTTAGTCATTTTATTCATTTCAACTAATATTGTTCAAAAAATACGCTATAGAAGGTTTTACAAGTTTGGATAAACATTAAATTGACTAAATTGATTAAATGAGCACATACGAAATATTTGTTTTGCGAAATTACGACATTAACCCTTACAAAATATGATTATATTTATATGAGTAATTTACCTTGGTACAAATGCCATGACACCTGTCTGTTTAACATTTCGGTCATACTTCTCTATCTGGTGTCGAGCTTCATCTATAAACTACAATATATATATATATATATATATATATATATATATATATATATATATATATATATATATATATATATATATATTACAACTTGGTTGATGATCATAAACAAATTCTTAATTTCTTTTTGAACTTGAAACATCTTAACATAATATGGGTAACTTACACGAATAAAGAGTGTATCCATTCGATCTTCCATGGCATCAAGTAAGAGGCGTACGTATCCAGCTACCTCAGATTTCTGATCATTTATATATTGCTCTGTTATACCATGCATTGATATGCACAACAAAGGATCAATCTTGTGTGCCCAATCCACAATTGCATAGAAGTCCTCCTGAAAGTCAATAGATATATTTAATAAAAAAAATCGGAGGGGTTGTTTCTTTTTTACTTAATAATGGGATTAATAGGTTAACCACTCCAAATGACTTAATAGGTTAAGCCAAAAAAAAAAAAAAAAAAAAAAAAAAAAAAAAAAAAAAAAAACTTGGTTTAGGCAATGTTTGATAGACTACTGAAAAGCTGAAAAACTAACCGATAACTGAAAAACTATCTAACAAAAAATAAGGTTTGGTAAAAACTAGCGGATAAAGAAGCAGAAAGACATAAAATAACATATAAATAGATTTAGAATAATATGTTTTTTTAACTAATTAATGGTATATTTAGGAAATTTTCAAAAAGCTACTCAAAGGAGCATTTTAAAAGCTAGCTTATCGGCTATTTTTTTGCTTACCAAACATAACAATTTAAAAAACTCAAAAATTAAGCTAGTTGTGTTATTTGTTTCTCTTTTTTCCTCGGATTCCTCTCTAGTCAAAATAAATGAGTATTGTGAAATTTGTTTTTTAGAATGTAGGGTTAAAATGATCATTTTATCTCATTTAGATTCTAGACTCTTTATGGAGGCTAGAAAAGAAACAGTCCTTATGTATACAACACTCATTCAACCACTTTACTCATGCAAGACTTAATAGTGAAAAAAAAAAAAACGTCCCCTTAAATTATTAAAGTAAAAGAGTGGATCTTGTCTATATTTTGTAATTACTTGTATTCCATCAAGTAAATCACGAAGTGATTCATTTAATGTCCCCATCTCCAATGGTATACCTACATGATTCCAGATACAAATATTAAACCGGTATATATATATATATATATATATATATATATATATATATATATATATATATATATATATATATATATATATATATATATATATATACATTACATGATAAAAAGATTAAAAGAACTGGATGTTATGTAACATATATTTACCCTTTTCGTCATTTTCCATGTCTAAATCATCATCATCATCATCACTGCCATTATCATCAGGTGAAGAAACTTCAAAGCGCAAGAAGCGTGACAAAAATACACTCTACAGTTTAAGTAGAACAAAAAGTAAATTCATAGACAAAAGAATAAAAACTTGGACTTTTATTTATTAAAAAAAAAATGATATCAAATAAGACTATGTTTCACACCTCATCAACAAGGAGTGGGACAAATACATCAAGCATTTTGGTATATGCTTCAGAAATATTTGAAGTGTCAACATTTTGGTTGGGAGTGGGACCCTCAAACCATGCAGTTTGAATCTTTGGTGCTTTAGTTCCAGCCCTAAGCTCATTAGAAAATTCACGAGCCTGAAATTTAAAATAATAATAATAATAATAAATTGAAAATAACTAAAATTGTCTTATAGAGCTGTGAAAAATTAAAGAAGGAAATTAATTTGGACACATACCTCATGGCGTAAAAGTTTATTAAGGGACCCACAATATGCTTTCCTCAAAGGAGCCATACTATTTTTATCAAGAAACTGCAATTATATAAAATATATGTGAGAGTAAGTTGCAAAAATGGTTCCTGTGCTTTCTGATTTTTACCATTTATTGTCCAAAATCGATACCTTTTCAGTTTTGGTTCTTTTTTCAACGTTTCACATTGATTTTGGTACCTAGAAGGCTAGAACGTTGGAATATGGACCAAAATCGGAAAAATGTTTGGGTTTCAGACTAAACATGTTAAAAAAATAGAAAGCACGGGGACCATTTTTGTAATTTACTCTATAGATCAATGGGTATCATTGAAGTTTCAATGTAATAATTAATAAACCTTTAGGTGATGCAAAAGACGAGCATATTTCTTGCATTTATTTCGGAAATTGGTATGATCAGGTTTCTTTAGTTGACCACGCTGACAAAAGTCAAACACCAGTCAATATCTGATGTTGATAAAAAATTTTAATACCTTAAAAGTGGCATATATTATATATAAATAAATATAAAAAAAAAATCACTCCAAGAAATAAACCTGAGAGAAGAAGCTTTTATCATTCATCATGGAATCCACTGAATTGGCAAAATAGTCTCTCAAATACTGACACGCTTTTCTTGCAAAAGTCAATTTTATTATGTCAAGTTCTGCCCTCTTTTCTCTCACCTGTAATTTTATAATTAAGACTACATCTTTTTAAATGTAAATTGTACTATTTCCATCGTGTTTATATTCTTATATTAACTGATGTATATTAATCGAAAAAGATTTTATTAAGAAATTATTATTAACCAAAAAACAAATGTAGAAAGCGTTAAAAAAAAGCAATGAACATACAGCTCTAATTTTGGAAAAGCTTGGATCCATAGCAGGTGGTTCAAAACCACGAAGAGCATCTCTTAATTGATCACATGCTTCAATATGTTTATCTAAGGATGCATCATCAAATGAGGCGCCAGCTAAGCAATCTGAAAGCTGAATTAATGGATAAAGAATAATTTAAGTGATGATGAAAATATGAAATAAATTATATTATTGGTTGAAAGTAATGTACCTCTAAAGGGATATGAAGTCTCTCAAGAAGGTTATCTAGTTCCTCACTTAAAGCTTTATAATTCATAGACTGCATTTCCAACTTGTTGTTTCTTGATTCTATCTGTTACCACAAGTTGATATATTATATATTATGATATTATCTAAACATTTGGTTGTTGTTTTGCTTAGTTCTAAAGGTTTTACTTCATCTATCTAATGTTTGAGCTTCTTTGTTGTTTTATGTGTTGAAATTAGGCTAACATAAAAGAAAAGGATTTGGTTTCAAAGTGTGGGTGTAATTCGGGGGATTATCTTGAGAGATTAGTCTATGTGATTGTAATAATTTATCATATAGTAAAATTTTTCTCAAAAGAGGATATTGGTTGTTCTATGGTTTTGGAGTTATATATATATATATATATATATATATATATATATATATATATATATATATATATATATATATATATATATATATATATATATATATATATAATGTCTGGATATCCATACCGCTTCTATATCCTCTCGCATATGTCTGAGTTTAACGTTAAACAATGCGAGCCATTCATCCATATCTTCAACACGAGTTGTAGCTGACTCAAGCCCCTTCAACACCTGCATTATAACCATAAAGTTTGTATAATGGAATTCATGTTATGTAGAATCTCATTTGTGGTACTTAAAAATGATGATGAGTTTAATTGTTTTAGAGCGTATAAAATGATTTAGATGATTTAGACTAAGAAAAGGATAATGGAATCCATAAAGTGAATTGAACATTCATATTGCCATTTAGTGTGAGTGGTTTACCTCATCTACCAAATGCTGGCTTTCCAAAATTGCATGCACGTTTGCTGCTTCAAGAGCATGAAGTTCCCGTTTTAACCTTTCGGAAAAGACTTCTGCTTCCCCAATACCCATCACATATCTAGGCACAATGTCATCACCAAAAATCATTAAAAGAATAAAGGCGGATAAGATAATCCTATAATCAGATGCTTAATTTTTGAAATTCAAAATGAGGTGGTAATTAAGATGGTTGATGTAAGTGTAACCTACAAGAATCTAGCTTATGTTATTTGATACAAAAGTAAAATTTTAGAAGAAAAAAAAAAGAAGAATTATACGTACGTGCCTAGAAGAGCTTCAATGTCCTCCTCTTCTGCTTGCGACACAAGATCATTTTCAACTGAAACTCCTGCCTCATCTTCAGAATTCATGTCTCCATCACTTCCATCTTCAAAACCATGTTGCTTAGGAACCTCCGATGCATGTTCCTATATAAGTAAAAGCATAATTTGCAAAACAAATATTATATTTACAAATTATCGTTTCCATCAAACCATTATTGAGTTAGAAAACTAATCGTCAAGCAATATAATTTGCTACAATAACTCAAATATATGTCTGGAACTATATATCTTATGTTAAGTATAAGCTAATTTGATGGGTACTTAAGTTAGTTATCGGTGGTTAAGGTAGTTACTCCCTAACCATCACCTTCAATAGGTACTGATACGACTCGTCGATTTGGTTGAGTTATCGGCTAATTAGTAATTATCTTTTTATCATTTATTTAGTTCCATCTTTATTTAAATTAATAGTTATCTTTTACTAGTAGTTATCCTTTTGTTTTGTAGTAGGATTAGTTGTTGAACACTATTTATTGGACTTTAGGATCGGTTCATTGATTATGGAATAAACTTTTTGAGTCTTAGACTTTTGGCGACCCCTATTTCTCGTTTAATTTGCTATAAGTCAGTAAAATTACTTGTCGGTTGAATTATAGTGTCACATTTTTTCCTGATTATTGTGTTTTTCAAGATCCTTCAACAAAGCAAATAATTAGTAGAGCACGAGAATCTAGTGGAAGTTATGTATTTGAACCCGAGGTACCGAAATCCCTAGTAGGACTGATGTCGTTATCTCCGTTTGCATTACATTGTCTTTTAGGTCACCCACCTCTTCAAAGTTAGAAAGAAATTATATCCCCAATTTAGACATCTGTCATCCCTAAATTGCGACTCATGTCAGTTTGTTAAGTATCAATGTGTTTAGTTGAGGCCTAGAGTTAATAAATGAGTTGCATCCCTATTTGAACTGTTTCACTTTGATGTATAGTGTCCTTGTCCTTTTACTTTTAAAACTGGGTTCAAGTATTTTGTGATTTTTGTGGATGATTATTCTCGTGTTAATTGGCTAAATTTGATGAAAATCACTCTAAGGTAGTCACCCATTTTAGTTAATTTGTTGCTGAGATTAAAACACAATTTATTATGTGTGGAAACTTTGCATAGTGATAGTGTAAAAGAATATACGTATGAAACCTTTCGGTCTTACATACTTCAATAAGGTATTCTTCATGAATCTTTTAGTGTTGATACACCTACCCAAAAATGGAATCGTAGAACGAAAAATTACCACATTCTTAAACTAGTTGGAACACTATTATTTCAAATGTGTGATCCAAAATGATAGACCATGGTCCATTCTTGAATAAAAACTGATAATGAAACTGTGAACTGATACGATAGATTAGGGTTTTCCCATTCATTCGAGCGGAACAGACTCTCCAAGAAGAAAAAAGTTCTTTATACAAATTAATTCTTAGCTACTAAACAAAAATCTCAAGAGGGAAATAAATAAAAGACATGAATCAGGGTTAGGGATGAGCGTTTGAACCGAAAACCCGAATCGAAACCCCAACCGACACCCGAACCGACCCGAACCAAATTAGGACCGAATAAGTCATACGGGTCGGTTATCGGGTATGTATTTTAGGCTTATTCGGCTGGTTATCAGTTTGTTCGGTCCGAGTTACCTAAATAACAGTTTAATCGGGTCAAAAGGACCGACCCGGAAATCGAATAGTCACTTAATTGATCACCTCTTGGGTTAGGTGTCCGAGGCGGTGTTTAGTACAACTCGGCGGATACTAGATCCATATTGAACAAATTTGTCCGCAAATATACTAGAGGCTTTGCTTTGCAC